GGGGAGTGTCTGCAGCCACGGAGCGACCACTGACCTGCTTCAGGCTGCTGATGGTCTTCAGGTGCTCGTCCCGCTCCTCTTGGACCTGCTGGAGCTGATCCTGCACAGCCTGCAGCTCCTCCTCCTTGCCCTACAAGGCAGATAGAAGCTCAGCCTCAGCTTGGGAAGCCACCGTCCTCCCACGAAGGCCCACCACGCCTCCCCAGAGAGGACCACCGTCACATGAGAGCCACCTTCAGCTCAGCAGCGTGCTGCTCCCGACACTGCCGCAAAACGTCTTCTTGCTCCTGCTGCTGCTGCTGCAGGGACTCCTGTAACATAAGTCCCAGGTCTGGCAGCAATCCCCCAGCAGATACCGCACCTGCCCGGGGGTGACCTGGGGACCCTGGGCTATGCAGAAAAGAAGCCCCTGCAGGCAACACCCACAGGCCCATGGGCTGTACCATGCACACCCTAGTTCTAGATTTGCTTTCATGTTTTTTTGTTTAACAAAACCTAACAGCACGCATTTACTACATGCCAGGAATGTTGGAAGGGTTTTACAAGTACTAACTCATTCTCTATAATCCTCCTCTGATACCTAGAGAGTAGGTATTATTATCCCCTTTCTACTTGACAGTGGAAACGGGCCAGAGAGGTTAGACAACTTGCCAAAGGGCACACAGCTAGAAAGTTGCCCAGCCAGGATTCAAACCCAGGCAAGCAACTAACTGCCTCTTATGTTCTATCTTGAGTTTCACCTGAAAGGGCAATGAAGGTTCTTACTGGAATAAACCCCGCGTGTGTAGTGCAATACTTTCCCGATGGAAGTACACGTTCAGGAAGAAGAGGTGCCTTTTAAAATCTGCACAAAGGCAGGGTGGCCCTGCACACCTGACCTGCGGCCCGAGCTGTTGGCCTTCTCTGATCCCTCCGGAGCACCACGGTTGAGCTAGGGGTGTTCTGGAGATACCCACAAGTCCAGAACTTCTCCGAAAGTTCCAGGGCCACTCCTGCTCTCCTGGTTTGGCCTGGATGCCTCCAATCAGACTCTGCACCTTACCCGGAACCACAAACTCACCTCGGCTTCCTTCAAGCGCCGTTCAAACCAGCCCTTGGCGCCATCCATGGAGTGGACCTGAGCTTGAAGTTCCTCTACTGTCTGCTGCAGAGTCTCCAGTTCCCGTGTTCGGGCCTGGGAGGTGACAGTCAGTCACAGGCCAGGCAGACAGAGGAACCAGGTACCTTGCACACAACCATCCACTAGCCCAGTAGCAATGCTGGGGTCCCCAGGGTTTAGAGGAGGAAGGGCACTGCTGTCGGCCCACCCACCTTCTCCTCACGGATCTGCCCCCGGAGCTCTTCCTCCTGCCGCTTCTTGTCTTCATGAAGCTCCCGGAGCTCACGCTCGTAGCGAGCCCGTACCCCCAGCACCTCCTTCTCATGCCGGAGTCGGACTGCTCCCAGCTCCTCCTTGTGCTGAGACTTCTCCTGCAGCGTCTCCATGGCTAGCTCATCCAGCATGGCCTTGCGCTTCTCGGCACTCTGGGGACCAAGAGGATGGCAATCAACCTCCTGTGCCCCCAACGCCCAGAGAGGTCAACCACCCTCTCCCATGCCCAAGGAACTTCCCGAACCCCATCCCCTCCCCATCTCCATCCAGCTGTCTCAGTCACTCACCCATCCTCATGGGACTGGCCACTTTCTTTCTCTTCCATTCTCAGGGATCAGGCCAAGAAACTGGCCAGCCATGGAACTAGTCAACTGCCTTCCCCTTCCCCCTCCCTTTCCCCTTCCCATGGCTTTGGCCATGTATCACCCCTCCCGTCCAGCTAGACTTCACCCCTCCCCCTACATTGCCCCACCTTCCGAGCCTCCTGGAGTTCCTGCGATAACTGCTCCTTCTCCTGCCCAATTTCTTGCAGCTGCTCCAGCAGCCGACTGTTGGCCCGCAATGACTCCTAATGCAGGAATGCAGGGGGAAAGGTTGATAAACAGCTCTCAGTGGGTGCTAGTCACCCCAGACACTTCAGATAGACATCTCCCTTCTCCCTGGAAAGTAGGTGCTATGAGATCAAGCTCTGGCTGAGAAATAGGACACACACTGGTAATTGCTACCCAGTACCCGTTCCCCCCCACTCCGACTTTCTTAACTGCAGAATTTGTGATTGGGCACGTGGTTGCCTAGCAAATGTTTCTCTCCATCCCTCCCAGTTCATTGTGGTCATGTAATTTCTTTTTAAAAAAGGTTTATTTGTTTGAAAGGCAGAATTACATAGAGGGAGGGAGGGAGAGAGAAAGAGAGAGAGAGGGAATTGATTTTCCATCTGCTGGTTCACTTTCCCAATGGCTGCAGTGGCTAGGGCTGGTCAGGCTGAAGCCAGGCGCCAGGAACTCCATCCAGGTCTCCCATGTGGGTGGCAGGGGCACAAGCACTTGAGCCATCTTCTGCTGCTTTCCCAGGTACATTAGCAGGGAGCTGGATCAGAAGTGGAGCAGATGGGACTTGAACCAGTGCTCCCAATATAAGATGCTGGCATTCAAAGTGGCAAGCTTGGGGCTGGTGTTGTGCTGTAGGGAGTAAAGCTGCCATCTGCAACATGGGCATCTCATTTGGGGTGTCACTCTGCCTTTCAAATACAAAAAAATATTCTCTCTGTCTCTCTCTCACTGTCCACTCTGCCTGTCCAAAAAAAAAAAAAAAAAAAAAAAAAAAAAAAAGCTTCTTTAAAAAATATGAAATGCTCCAAACTTTAAAACTTTGTGAGTGCTGACATGATGCCTGCAGGTGGAAAATTCCACACCTGAGTTCATGTAACAAGTCACCATCAAAATGCAGGTGGCAGGACTGGCATTGTGGCGTAGCAGGTTAAGCCTCCTCCTGCGGTGCTAGCATCCCATATGGGCACCTTTCAAGACCCGGCTGCTCCACTTCCAATCCAGCTCCCTGCTAATGTGCCTGGGAAAGCAGCAGAAAGTGGCCCAAGTCCTTGGGCCCCTACACCCATGTGATAGACCTAGAAGAAGCTCCAGGCTTCTAGCTTCAGCCTGGCCCAGCCCCAGTCATTGCAGCCATTTGGGGAATGAACCAGCAAATGGAAGATCTCTCTCTCACTCTGTCTCTCCTCCAATCTCTGTAACTCTGCCTTTCAAACACATAAAAAATTTTAAAATAAATAAAAATGCTGCCTGCAGCACCAGCATCCCATATGAGCACCTGTTCAAGTCCTGGGTGCCCCACTTCTGATCCAGCTCCCTGCTAATGTGCCTGAGAGAGCAAGATAGGATGGCCCAGGTACTTGGACCCCTGCCACCCACATAGGAAACCCAGATGAAGCTCCTGGGTCCTGGGTCCTGGCTTTAGCCTATCTCAGCCCTGGCTATTGCGGCTACTTGAGGAGTGACCCAGCAGATGCAAGATCTCTGTTTCTGCCTGTCTCTGTAACTCTGTTTTCAAATAAATAAATAAATCCTTATTAAAAAGTACAGGCACACTAAAATATTTATAAAATTATCTTCTAGCTATGTTTACATATATATATATATATGAAACATGAATTAATTTTATGTTCAGAGTTGAGTCCCACCTTCAAAAATCTCATTATATATGAAGAGTCTCCAAAAAGTTTGTGGAAAATGCATATTATTACAAAACTATGTGTGGATTTCAAAATTTTTACACTACAATAATGTTATCTTTTAATTTAGTTTTCATGAACTTTTTGAAATACCTTCATATAGTCCAGATTTTATTTTATTTAAAGAATTGGAGGGGCTGGCACTGTGGTATATGGGTAAGGCAGCCGCTTGCATTGTTGGCATCCCATATGGGCACCGGTTCAAGTCCCGGCTGCTCCACTTCCAATCCAGCTCTGTGCTGTGGCCTGGGAAAGCAGTAGAAGATGGCCCAAGTCCTTGGGCCCCTGCACCCACGTGGGAGGCCAGAAGAAGCTCCTGGCTCCTCTATATTATGGAATCTGAATGGATATCTTAACTCATTGAAGCTCAGCCTCACAGAAGTGAAATGACGTATCCCAGGACATATATATGCTAACAAGTTAGGGAGCCCGACTGCATCCTCCTGAACCCACAGTCTCCCCTCTGCCCTTCCTGGGGGACTCCAGTGAGGTGACTCAGGAACTGGAAGATGGGCCAGAGGCAGAGGTGTCACCTGGAGCTGGGAGTTGAGGTCATCTTTTTGTCCCATGAGGTCCTCATACTCGTCCAGCCGCTGCTGCAATTCAGCTGCCAGACTGGTGGTCTGTTCCCGGAGCATATTCAGTTCCTGGGTCTTTGCTGTTTGGATCTGGAGAAAGTGGCAGTAATGAGAAGGGAAATGAATAAATGTGGTCTATTCATACAATGGAATATTACACAGTGGTAAAAGAACAGATGGTGGGGCCAAAGTTGTGACATAGTAGGTTAAACCATGGCCTGCAGCGGCAGCATCTCATATGAGTGTTGGTTTGAGTCCCGGCTGCCCCACTTTCAATCCAGCTCTCTGCTAATGTGCCTGGGAAAGCAGCAGAGGATGGCCCAGGTACTTGGGCCCCTGCACTCAAGTGGGAGACCAGGATGAAGCTCCTGGCTCCTGGCTTCGGATTGGTGCAGCTCCAGCCATTGCAGCCATCTGGGAAGTGAACTAGCAGATGGAAGACCTCTCTCTCTCTCTCTCTCTCCTTCTGCAACTCTGCTTTTCAAATAAATAAATATTTTTCTTAAAAAAAAGACTAGATAGCTACACATGGATAAATCTCATAGACATAATGCTGCCAGAAAGAAGCCAGAGAGAGAGTTTCTAATTCCATTTATATGAAGTTAAAGAACAAGTGAAATGAATCTAGGTTGCCAGACATCAGAATAATGGTTACTTTTGGGGGAGAACTGACTGGGAAGGGGTAAAGAGGACCATCTAAGCTACTGAAAATGCTCTGTATCTTAATCTGGGTGGTGGCTCCATGCAGAGAGAGAGAGAGAGAGAGAGAGCGAGCGTGCTAAAGAGGATTCATTCAATGGCCACTTAAGCTTAGTCCATTTCATGCACTTTACTGGAGAAAAACATGAATGCCAGGGAAGCAGGGATGGATGGCCAGAGAGGAGAGGACTGGAAGCCAACAGAAAGGAGAAACAGAAACAGCGGCAGGGGAGCAGCACGGGGTCCAGACCACCCTGCCCCGGTGTGGATCAGAAGCAGAGGGAGTCCGGAGAACTGGGGAAGGATCAGCAAAGGTTCCCAGGTGTCCTGTACCTGCTCCAGGGCAGCCAGGCTAGTCCTCAAGGCATTGTTCTCAGCCAAAAGCCCTTCCACTTGTTCCTGCGCATCTGCACTCTGGATGGACACCTGGCCCAGCCCCACAACAGGTGAGAGCGGGTCCAGAACAGGAGGACAGAACGTACTTGCAGCCAAGAAAAAAGAGAGACAGGGAGACAGCCAGACACACATACACACGCACATACACACACATACCCCAGAGTAGGGGAAGCAGGACCCCACCCACCCACCCAGAGCCTTGCCTGCTTGTGTGGGCCCACTCAGGCTGCCCTCATTCAATCCCATCTCCCCAAGCCCACCTAGTACAACGTACCTGATCTTGCAAGGCTCGCAAAGCTGCTGCATGCTCCAGTCGCTCCCCCTGCCGCTGATCTCTTAGCTCTGCCAAGCTCTGTGGGGAACAGGTCAGGGGAGCCCATTCCAGATCTCAGCTCCCCTTGTTGTATGTATAAGCCACACAGACTCCCTCTTTGACCACCTAACAGCACGTCTCTAGTTCCTGTGGGTCTCAGACAACACAACCATCAGAAAGCTCAGGTTCACCTGGACTCCAGGTCATTAGCCCCCAGGGGCCTCTGACACATGTGTCCCCTCTGTTCTGTCCCAGTCTCCAGGCATCTCAGACACACCTGAGCTCCTGGCCTTAGCTCCTGCAGCGGCGGTGGGGGGTGGGGTGGGGTGGTGTTCCAGCTCACTCAGCCCTCATCCCTAAGAGGCCTCACACTCCCCAGACTCCAGCTCAAGGGGCCTATGATTCTCAGACACATTCAGCCCCCAGGGATCCCAGATGCAGTCAATATCTACAGACTACAGCTTTGCCCAGACTCCTGATCCCAACCACTGGGGCTTTCAGACACACTCAACCTCCATGTCCCTAGCTCACAAGAGTCTCAGATCTACCCAAGCTTATTGGGCCAGAACCCGAAAGTCTCAAATTCATACAATCTCCTAGTCTCTTGCTTCTAGTAAGCTCTCAGACTGACCCTCCCATCTGTCACCCTGGTCCCCAGTCTCGGGATAGTCAGACCCAGCCAAACACCAGCTCTTGGGTGGGGGAGGGGGTTCAGCTTTCTCCAGACTCCTGCACCAACCCCCATGTTTTTAATTCTAGGGGTGCTAGGCCCACAAGCCACTATATCCTCCATTTCAAGGGACCTCAGACTTGTCCCTTTGAGGAAGAAACCCAGAGGCTTTAAGGCCATCCCAGCCCCTAAACCTCAGGAGCCTCAAACCCACCTAGACTTCTGCTGTCGCCGCCCCCCCACTTTCAGCTTTTGGTTCCCAGCCTCCAGGGGTTCAGAACCACACCGCCCATGTGATTCCACTTCCTAGGTGTCTCAGTCCCAAACCAGTCCACAGACCCTCAGAATTTCAAATGCACTCAGCCTGCATCCCCGACTGTTTTACCCTTGAAAATCATATATCTATTCAGCCCCTGGGAGTCTGAAATTCACTGACAACTGCAGACCCTCAAAGGCCTTGAAGTCACCCAGTCTCCAGGGAATTCAGAGTCGCAATTCCTCGTCCCAGCCCCCAGTGCCACCCTCCTGTCTCCAAGGCCAGGAGTTTCAGATTCACACAAATTTGTGGCCCACACTCCTTCAAGTCCTCCATCCCTGAGTCTCTGATTCATGCAGACTCCTAGCCCTACTCCTAGGGCTCTCAGGACTCCCTCACTCCCTGCTCCCCTAGCTCCTGGTGGGGGACAGGGGGCTAGGAAATACCTGGTCCCTGTAGTTCTAACACAGGAACTATCAGACGCCTGAACTGGCCTCCAGGGACCTCAGACCTCCCCAGACACCCAGCCCTGGTCTCTACCCCAGGGATCTCAGACCCCAGCCCCACTTGCCTGATTGGCAGCCTCAAGTTCCTGCTGTAGCTTCTGGGTACGAGCCAACTGGGCTTTGAGATCCGCTTCCTTCCGCTGTTGTAACTCCTCAATCTTGTTCCTGGGGGTGACAGGAAGGGAGCATATTGGGCATGGCTTGAGGCTGTCTCCTAGCTCAGGCCCTGTGGCCTTCAGGTAACTCTGCTGGGCGCTGTCCTCAGGCCCCCAACCCGGCAGTTACCTGCTGTCGTTGAATAGTGTTTCCTTTTCTGTCTGCAGACGGCAAAAACTGGCCAGGAAAGACAAACACAGATGGGTCAGCCCCACAAGTCAAACCCCCCACCTTGTCCCTCAAAGCCCCTGAAAAAAGGAAAATTACCTTTCTTGTTTCTTTTTCAGTTTCTCGGAGAGCTGGGGAGTGTAGGGGATATGGACAAGAGACAACAGTAAGAATAATATTAAACACAGAAAAAGACGTAATATTTATAGATACCTGTTACTCAGGCCTTTCTGGAAGCCAGGATTTATTCATGTTATCTCATGGAGTGCTCAGAACAGCCCCAAGAAGTGAGTACTACTGGTTTTACAAATGGACAAACTGAGTCCTAGCTGGTCAACAAGTACAATAATATCTCCACCTGGACCCCACAGGCTCTAAAGCCCAAAATAGTGGCCAACGGCCATGTCACAGAACGGCGAGGCTTGGGTGAACCCAAGATCATGATCTGCTGTCTCACCACTGGGTTTCCAGGTCCTAAGGATCAGGAATCTATGAATGCTTGGCTGGATGAATGAATGAACAAATGAGCAGATAAGGAGGAGACAGAAGGGGTGGATTCTGCGATGTACAAGATACGGTGGGACCGCATGAACCCATTCCATACTGAAAACAGCAGAGACCTAAGTGTGGGTCTTCCCATTTCACAGGTGATGAAGCTGAGGCTTGGAGAGGACACAATGCCCCTTTTGCCCTGGAAGGTGGGGAGTGGAGTGTGGCAAAGATCAAGGAAGCACCCAGAAGCCCCACCTTAGCGAGTTCCTCTTGCAGCCTGGATGTCTCAGCTTGTTTTGAGCTCTGCAGGGAAGGAAAAATGGGGTTGCTGTCATCAAGGAGGGGAGAAGGCCTCTGCCTCCCCATCCTCCTGCCTCCCCCGCCGTGTCAGTCCATGAGATGATGATGTCACAGACATCTCCATAGACCCATGGGCGGAGCCAGGGTTCCTGCCGCCTCCAGGCATCCCAATCTCAACAAAACTAGATTCACCTCCAAGCCTTGCAGCTGTTCCCAGAGTAATCTCTTTTCCTCTTTCTCCATTTCCCACTTCAACTCCACCTCTGCCAATGGTGTGGGGGCCAGGCCCCCTGAGGGGTCTCCCTGACCCCCAACGACAGCTGAGGTCTTCCCGGCCTCTTTCTCATAGCGCTCCTGCAGGGCTGTTGAGTAGAACAGGGACATATGCTGGATGAGGTCATCCTTGAAGTCCTTGCCATGCCTCAACTAGAGGGAGAAGTGGCCTCTGACCCTTCCAAATGACCACAGCCTATCAAATGAAGCTTCAGCCCTGTCCTCACCTCTCACAAGTATTTTAAACACTACCAACCACTGAGATCTTATTAATGCAACCTGGTTTCCCAATCCCTCTTCTTGATCTTCCAGCCTCCACTAAGAGCCCTCCAAGGCCATGTCCATCATGCTGCACCTACGACTTACAGCTGAATCCCTCCTCTAACTTCCTATCCACATTCTATAGTCTCCCTCCTGGTCATTGAACAAGCAGCCAACAACATACCAGCCCCAGCTGCTCTCCAAGGTTCACACACCATGGACTTCCTACTCAGCTTTCCTTCCAAACTCCACTTATGATCTAGGCTCACAATTTTCACACTGTTCCTTCATTCATTTTCTCCACTTAGCAAGTACGTCCTTTTCAGTGTTCAAGTTGGTCTTCTCTAACATTTTCCAGGTACCAGATGTTGAACTAAATGCAGGTTACCCCCTATGTTTACTGCCCTCTTCCAGGTGGCAGACATGTTTGTAGATAAGGGAGCTTTGGCTAAGAGATGTGGAATGACTTGTCCAGAACCACACACTGGTGGCAGGGCCAAACCTCATCCTGAAGCCCCTCTCACTCCCTTAAGAGGACAATACCTTTCCTTGCTCTACTCAAATTCCAAGGCCGCCACCCCCAGGAGGGCCCCCCAGTACCTGCCACGTTCTTCTGCAATGCTGTGTTCTCTGCCTGCAGCCGGAGCAGCTCCCCATCCACATGGGGCTCCACTTGGGCAGCCACTGCTCCAGCAGACCCATCCTTCAGTTTCTGGTTCTCCCGCTCCAGCTGTTCCAACTGGCTGCAGAGCTGAGCAGAGGAAGAGAGAAGTAGAGAAGCGGCAGCAGCAGCAGCAGATCAGAACAACATTGAGTGAAACAAAAACAGCACTGGGCCATGCACTCCACAATTCCTTAAATTCTCAAAACACCCCTAGGGTGTAGGTGCTCTCACATTTTACACATAAGGATATTGAGGAAGGGATGCTAAATAATGCTGCAGGTCTGTGAAACTGCAGTGTCAAGGGGCCAGTGCTGTGGCGTCACAGGTAAAACCACTGCATGCAGCACCAGCATCCCATATAGGCGCCGGTTCAAGTCCCGGCTACTCCACTTCCCATCCAGCTCCCTGATAATGAGCCTGGGAAAGCAGTAGAGGATCCCTGCACCCACATGAGAGACACAGAGGAAGCTCCAGGCTCCTGGTTTTGGATTAGCCCATGTTGGGTTATTGGGGCCACTTGGGGAGCGAATCAGCTGATGGAAGATCTCTCTCTCTGTTTCTCCCTCCCACTCTTTCTCTGTAACTCTTGTCTTTCAAATAAACAAATAAATCTTTTAAAAAATGGAAGCATCAAAGAGGATAAGAAACAGAGGGCAGGCATTTGGTGTGGCAATTAAGACATCACTTGGGATACACACATCCCATATTGGAGTGCCTGGGTTCGACTCCCAGCTCTGCTTCCAAATAACACGCACCCTGGGAGGCAGCAGGTGACTCAAATACATGGTCACTGACACCTATGTGAGACACATGGGTTGATTTCCTGGCTCCCAGCTTTTGCCTGGCCCAGTCAAGGCTGTTGTGGGTATTTGGGGGGTGAATCAGCAAATGAAGAGCTTGCTGTGTGTGTGTGTGTGTGTGTGTGTGTGTGTGTCTGCCTTTCAAACAAATAAAAATAAAGGGGCTGGTCTTGTGGTGCAGTGGATTAACCTGCTATTTGGGAAAGCCTGCATCCAATTATCAGTGTGCCTGGGATCAAGTCCCACATCCACTTCCAAACCAGTTTCCTGCTAATGCACACCCAAGGAGGCAGCAGAAGATGGCTCAAGTACTTGGGTCCTGCCACCCATGTGGCAGATCAGTGTGGAGTTCCTGGCCATGGTTTTAGTCTGGCCCAGCCCTGGCTGTTGCAGGCATTTGGAGAACAGACAGTAGATGGAAGATCTCTATCTCTCTGACTTTCAAGTAAATAAAAATAAACAAAACATTAAAATAAATAAAAAAGAGGATGAGGGTACTGCGAACAATTTTTTTCCCTTGTCTTCTCCCAACCTCACCATGCAACCCAAGATACTGGCACCTCTGGAAGCTGTCAGGACCATGGATAGCCCCAGAGCCACTCTTCTGTGAAGCCTTCTGTGTCCTGGGTCCCAGGCCCAAGGAAAGTTCCTTCTCGGCTCAGGCATTTACAGGTAAGTTTCAGGACACTTCCAGGACCAACGCTGCCTACATCTGCTGTATGCTCAACACGTGGCTAATGGACAGCTCTCACAGCAGTTCTGACGTGGTCCCTTGTCACCACTTTTAGGTGACAATACTGAGGCCCATAATTTTTTTTGTATTGCTTCATTTCTTTTCTACCCGGAATACTATTTCTTTGATTTAGATCTTCACATGATTGGTTTATCTGCATCCTTCAGTGCTCTGCTCAGATGTCACCACTAAAGTAGCAGTTCTTGGGGCCACCGCTGTGGTGTAGTGGGTAAAACCACTGCCCGCAGTGCCAGCATCCTATATGGGCTCTGGTTCAAGTCCCAGCTGCTCCACTTCCAATCCAGCTCTCTGCTATGGCCTGGGAAAGCAGTAGAAGATGGCCCAAGTCCTTAGGCCCCTGCACTTGCATGGGAGACCTGGAAAAAGCTCCTGGCTCCTGGTTTCGGGTCGGCCCAGCTCCAGCTGTTGCAGACAATTGCAGAGCGAACCAATGGATGGAAGACCTCTCTTTCTCTGTCTCTCCTTCTCTCTGTGTAACTTTGACTTTCAAATAAATAAATAAATCTTCTTTTAAAAAAAGTCAGCTATCACTACTATTGTTTGTTCAGTGGGTTATCCTCTTTGTTCCACCCCCAGAATATAAGCAACCCAAAAGTGGGGACCACTCTGTGTTGCTCATAAATGTATAGCCATAACATAGGGCACACACAGGGTTCTCAGTAACTCTTTGTTGAAAGAACAATTGAGTTGAACCATCTTTGTAAACAAAGGATTGAGGCAAGCTTTGAGCCCAGGGATTTCTGTGAGCACATCTAGCTCTTGGAAGGGAGAAGGGGACTAGGAAGACAGTGCCTGACCCAGGGTGCAAGGAAATTGGAGCTGAATTTATGGACAAATGCCTGCCTCTGTCTCACGGTACCACAAAGGCTGGACACAAGAAGCAGTGAGAAGTCGGTTGCTGAAACCAGTAGTTATGTGAGCATCCGGGGCTCTGAACACAGGGTGGGGCCCCACTGGAGGACACTGTTTAATAGAGTGATGTGGAGGCAGATGTTTGGCTTAGCCAGCCTGGGTCCAACCCTTAGCTTGGTTTCCAATTCTAGCTTCCTGCTAACGTGCATACTGGGATTGAGTCCCAGACTCCAGCATTGGCCTGGCCCAGCCCTGCCTGTTGTGGCCATTTAAGAAGTAAACCAGAGGATGGGAGATCTCTCTCATAAAATAGAAATAAACAAATAGATAAAAATGAAAGGAATGATATAGTCAGACCTGAAGGTCAGAACCATCTCTGTGGCATGGACCAATAGAGGAAACTAGCAATGAAAAGACTGTGGAAATAGAGCAGGTGGCAGGTGATGAGGATTGAGGCAACCGGGGATACATACAAAACTTTTTAAAAGTCAAGAAATATTATAGATGGAAAATAAATTAATAGAAGATTGATAGGAGATGATTAGTAGCTAGCCTGTCCACAGCTGAGACTGTGCCAAGACCCTGTTCTATGTGACTTACATACATTAACCAATTTAATCCTTGTGAAAGGCCGGTGAGGTACACCTTGTGACTGTCAGCATTTCCATTTTAAATGTTTGGGAACCATGATACAGGCAGGTAGTGTAAGAAACTGGCACGTGGTACAAGTCCAAGGTTTCAAGGTAGTAGATGGTACAGCCAAGAACTTCCAATCCAGGCCTTCTGGCCCCAGAGTCCTTACAAAAACTACTGCTTGCTCAACTGCCTCTCCTGGTATTATACCTGCTTAAAGATTATCTTTGATTTTTTTTTTCTTGTTAAAGATTTACACAGTTACTTATTTGAAAGGTAGAGTGTCAGAAAGGGATAGATGGAGAGAAGACAAGATTGTCTATTTGCTAGTTCACTCCCCAAATGGCTGCAATGGCCTGGGCTGCAAAGCCAGGGACCCAGAACTTCATCTAAGTCCCCCTTGTGGGTGGCAGGGGCCCAAGTATTTGGACTATCTTCTGCTGCCATCCCAGGCACATTATCAGAGAGCTGCATCAGAAGCAGAGCAGCCAAGAATAGAACCTTGGTTCCCACATGGAATGCCAGAGTTGCAACCTGAAGCTTAACACCATGTGTCACATATAAGCCCCTTTTGTTTTGTTTTTTTTAAGGTCTTTTTTAAAAAATGAATTTATTTATTTGAAGGTAGAGTTTCAGAGAGGCAGAGGCAAGGAGAGAGAGAGGGAGAGGGAAAGGGAGAGCGAGGGAGAAAAAGAGAGAGAGGTATTCCATCTGCTGGTTCACTCCCCAGATAGCCACAATGGCTGGAGCCAGGAGCTTCTTCCTGGTCTCCCACATGGGTGCAGGGGCCCAAGGACTTGGGCCATCTTCTACTGCTTTCCCAGACCACAGCAGAGAGCTGGATGTGAAGTGGAGCAGCTGGGACTCGAACCAGTGTCCTATGGGATGCCAGCACTGCAGGTGGCAGCTTTACCCACTACACCACAGCGCCAGCTCCAAGGTCTTAAGCACTATCTTCTTAGGTGGACTTAGAAACACCATTTTTGCTCCCAAGGGAATTTCTTCCTTAAAACACACTAAGCAGGGGCCAACATATGGCTCAGCAGGCTAACACAGCCTACAGCACCGGCATCCCATGTGGCTGCCAGGTCGCTTCCTGGCTGTTCTACTTCAAATCCAGCTCCCTGCTAATGTGCCTGAGAAAGCAGCAGGATATGGGCCAAGTCCTTGGGCCCCTGCACCCATGTGGGAAACCTGGAGGAAGCTTCTGGCTCCTAGCTTCAGGCTGGCCAAGACCTGGCCATTGCTGCCATTTGGGGGGTGAACCAAAGATGGAAGATTCTCTCTCTCTCCACTAACTTGCCTCTGTGTGACTCTGATTCTCAAAAAGATAAAAAAACTTAAAAAAAAACACACTAAGGTTAGGTAACCTTTTTTCTGCCAAGGATCATTTAGATAATTATAATATCATTTATGGTTCACACAAAATTATCAACTTAAAAATTAGCCTGTTATAGAGTTATTGAATTTCTTTTTTTAAAAATATATATATATTTATTTAGAAAGAATTAGAGAGAGAGAGAGAGAGAGAGGGAAAGACAGAGAGAGATCTTCCATCTGCTGATTCACTCCCCAGATGGCCACAATGGCCAGGGCTGAGCCAGACCAAAGCCAGGAGCCAGGAGCTTTTTCCAGCTCTCCTATGTGGGTGCAGGGGCCCAAGGACCTGGGACAGCATCTGTTGCTTTCCCAGGCACATTAGCATGGAACTAGCTTAGAAGTGGAAGAACCAGGACTTGAACTAGTGCCCATATGGGATGTCAGTGCTGCAGATAGTGGCTTAATCCTCTATGCCACAGTGCCAGCCCCAAGTTATTGAATTTCAAGTCCCACCTGTGGTTGCCTTGGCAGGGCCAGACCAAATGATTTCACAGGCCTCATATGGCCCGTGGGCTGGATGCTCCCCACCCCTACACTAAGGGGTCAGCATTGTGATGCAGTGATTTAAGCCTTAGCTGACAATGCTGGCATCCCATATCAGAGTGCCAGTTCAAGTACTGAGTCCTCTACTTCTTTTTTTTTTTTTTTTTTTTTTACAGGCAGAGTGGACAGTGAGAGAGAGAGACAGAAGAGGTCTTTCTTTTTGCCGTGGTTCATCCTCCAATGGACGCGCGGCCGGCGCGGCTGCAGCGGCGCACCGCGCTGATTCGATGCAGGAAGCAGGAGCAGGAGCAGGTGCTTTTCCTGGTCTCCCATGGGGTGCAGGGCCCAAGCACCTGGGCCATCCTCCATTGCACTCCCTGGCCACAGCAGAGGGCTGGCCTGGAAGAGGGGCAACCAGGACAGAATCCGGCGCCCTGACCGGGACTAGAACCCGGTGTGCCGGCGCCGCTAGGCGGAGGATTAGCCTAGTGAGCCGCGGCGCCGGCCTGAGTCCTCTACTTCTGATTTAGCTTCCTACTAATGTTCCTGGGGAGGCACTGGAAGATGCCCCTCATACTCAGGCCACTGCCATGCATATGAGAGATCAGTATGGAGTTTCTAGTTCTTGGCTTTGGCCTGGCCTATACCTGGTTGATGAGACCATTTGAGGAATGGTGGGAGATATATTTCTGTACCTCTCTCTCACTCCACCTTTCAAATAAAGAAATCTTTAAAAATACACACTAAAAACTTAGTAAGTTGTTAACCAAAGGTACAGAAGACAAATAGGGAACAACAGTTAATGTTTCCAACTACCCAGTATTTTTAAAAACAGTACACTAAAATCAGTGAGGAGATAGAATTAGTCAATCTAGAATGAACCCCAGGCTCATGTCAGACAAAGGGAAGGCAAGGAAAAGGGAAGTAGCTTGAACACCTTTCCATCCCATATTAAGCATTACCTAAATCCCTCAATACCCTAGAGTTCCATAGCATTGACCCCAATTATACATGGGGAGACTTGAAGCCCAAAGAAAAGAAATGACTTGGCCAGGAACCAGTTGACTTCAGGGCTGGAAGCCTCCTGATTTCAGCACAGTGAGTAAGCCCTTCTGTCAAATCATTGCCCCCCAGCAGCAGTCCAGGACCTATTTCAGCACCAAGGACAGTGCTCCAATGCCAGACCCTGTCCAACCACCCTTTGCTGCTTTCCCCACCCTGCCTTTCCCCTGGGGCTCTCCTGGGCACCAGCACCTTGCTGAACTCGGCCATGAGTGTGCTGTTCTGCAAGCGGAAGTCCTCCTCCTGGCTGTGCAGCTTTGCCTGCAACATCTCATTTTCACTCAGCAGTACCTCGACCTCCTGCAGTGGCAGACATGGGCCAGGAATCCATCAGGGGCAGAAAGGATGGGGGTAGGACAAAGAAAGAGAGGGAGAGAAAATGGCATGGGGAGAAAACATAGGGTAAAGGGAATGAGGTGATAAATTAGAGATAAAATGAGAACGAGTGATGGGGGAGAGAGACGTGGGGAGTAGAGAGGAGGGAAAATAAGAAAGATGAGAGAGAGATGGAGAGGGAGAGAAAGGAAGGGAGAGAGTGGGGTAAAGATGGGGAAATCATGATGGGGAGAGGAGGTAAAGAGAGACGGGGGAACAGGGACAGAAAAGGAGAGTCATTGGAAGGGGAAAAGAGAAATAAAGGCAAGAACAGAAAGATCAACAAGAAGAAAACAGAACAGAGGGAGGCTCAGGGAAAGAAACAAGTCAGGAAGGATAGAGGAACGGGGAGATGGAAGCAAAGAGAGAGAGAGAAGGAAGGAAGGAGAGGAGGAAAGAGAGGAAGGGAGGGAGGGAAAGAAAGGAAATAAGGAAAAAAAGAAAAGAGAAATGACAGAGATAGGAATGGGTGGAGGAGAGAAGTCAAAGAAGGTTGGAGAGAAAAACAAGAGTTAGAGAGAGAGGGACAGGAGGACAGAGAGATGGGGCAGAGGGCACCTCAGAAAAAAAGGATGAAGACAGAGAAATGGAGAAGTATAGAGACACAGAGAAGCGGGGTACAAGACCAACATAGGAAAACAAACGCATGACTGTTAGTCACAGATTCAAGGATACACTGAGAGAAAGAAAGGTCAGTACAAGGAGAGCCCAACATGCAGAAATATCTCCACTAACACACAGCTTCCCAGACATACTCACCCTCCATGGGTTCCCTTACCTGAGCTTTCTTGCTCTTGCTCAGTGCCTGAAGTGGGAGAAGAGAGTTAAAGTGAACAGAGATGTACCCATCCACTAGAGTATGGAGACAATGGTGGCAAGTGCAAAGGGGGTGGGGCAATGATAAGGGCTGTGGAATAGGAGGATCTTCAACCCCAGAACTTTCTATATCAATTTGGAACCTACAGGAATGATAGAATGAATAAGTGAAAGAATGAGAATTCTGCCTTGGTACTACAACACACAGATATCATCTTTTCCTCTAAGTTCTTAGGCTGGTGTGTGCGTGTGTGTGTGTGTGTGTGTGTGTATGTATGTATGTAGGAAAGGGGTGTTCCTTATTTAACCTTCTATGAGCTCAATCTCCAGACTCAAAAATTGTGACTTCATTGCTACATCTGTCCAAACACATCTCTGTGGATCCCTCCCATACAATGTAGAAACTGCCATGCCCTCGATGGGCAGTGCAGGGAATTGCCAGGTTTGGGGAACCAGCACCCTACCAAAGAGAAGCTCTGCTTCCTGACTGCCTGATGCTCTGCATTCTGCAATCTTCATCCAACAACTATTTATCAAGCATGAACTATAAAAGAAGGAGACAAAGGAGGACCTTGAATATCTTGAGGGGCCATAGCAGGTTATAGTCTATCTCATCTTTAGAGACTATGAGAGATGGGTTCGGCCTCATTTTACCAACAGAACAATGACAAGGATGACAGGCAAGAGCACAAAGCAACAGTGTGAGTGGAGGATGGTAACACAGTCAAGGCAGATTTCCTGACAGATTTGAGTATTTAATTAAAAGCTAGTGAATGAGAATGAGTATGTAATTGAAACTGGAAATGAATTAAGAGTAAATTAAAATGAATCACTAAATTAAGCAGGATTAGGTAAAATTAGCAAATTCAAGAGACTTCCACGCAAATTCTTTAAATGAGTACATGGAAGCAGCATGTGACATTAGGTCTGGTTCACTGTAGGGGCTCACCAGGTAGGTGAATGAGTGATATGGATAGAGGGAAGCATGGGTGAATGGATGGGTAGGTAGAAGGAGGTACCTTCTGAGCTTTGCTGAACTCCTTATCCAGGTAGGCGACCTTCTGTCGAAGACTGGCGAGTTCTGGTATAAGGAAAGCAGAGAATCTCAGTTTCAAACAATGGCAAGAAGCTGAAAGGTCTTCCTGCCAGGCCTCTGGGGGCGGAAACCTTGGCATCCATCCCCCAAAGCCACTCCAGTCCCCCACCACCCAATGAGACCCTTTTGGCTCACCAACACCATTTTTGCGAAGTTCATCTGAAAGCTGGTAGTTGTTAGTCCGAAGCTCCAGGAGCTGGGCCTTTAGGGGAAGTAGGAAAGGGGAAAGACATGGTCAGGAAACCACCCCTAGCCCCACCATGAGTGAACCAAGCTCCTAAGCCCCAGTCCCTCCATGTGCCTCTTTAGCTACTCGTTAAGACCTATGCATACTGCATCCTCACTGAGCTTCCAGGCCCTCAGCCCCTGTCTCACCTCCTCTAGCTCCACTTATAACCCTAGCCATTTGCACTCCTCCATCTCCCCCATTTCAATCCACTTGGCACTCAGGCCATCCCAGAGTACTGATCAGAGCAGGCTCTTGTTTGGGTGCGTCCCATGGTTATCCATGCCCACAGGATAAAGTTCCTCCTCCTCCTAGCTGAAGACTGTCAGGGGTTGAGTGTAGTCCATCCTCCTCATCCCACCCAGAGGCCCAGGAGGGCAGAAGAGGGTCTGGTATTCTCCTCCCCAGCTTTCACTGAGTCAGGAGGCTTCCCAGGGTCTTCCATCTGCAAAACTCTGAAAACATGTCCAGAGCCTCTTCAAAAATTTAGGGACAGTGAAGTAAGGGTCTTTTCATACAGCGCACTCCTGTCTACCAACCCTCTAGACCCAAGGCTGGTTCTTCCCAAAGCAACTCACTGTCCCATACTCTACCAGGACCTTCTCCCTCTTATGGTACCATCCTCCACTCCCCCACTGCCCCCCTCCCCCAACCCCTACTGGCTTAGCCTCTACAAGATCTTTCCTACTCCTGTCCTCTCCAAGACCCAATGACTTGTCTCTCCAAGTCCTAGTCCAATTGGAACATCCTTTGCACAGCCTTGGAGTCCCTCCCCCTATAGAGCCAACAGTTTTCCCTTATACACAGCCCAGTGGGCTCAGTCTTTCTAAATCAAGGGTGCCCCCTCCCCGCTCAAGATTGCTCCAAGTCACGATCCAAAGGGAAGGCTCTTCACCCTTCAGAGTCTCTCCTTACAAGGTCTTAGGTGGGCCAGGTGGCTTTCTCCTGCTCACTTAGAATTCCTTGCACAGGTTACACTGTTCTTCCCCATTCATGGTCAAATAGTTCACCCTTCCATCCATCTCCACTGTCCCTCACACAGGGGACAACTGGATTCCCTTATTCAAGAACCAATAGAACGACCAAACCTCACTCAAGAGTTCATCTCTTTCCCCTACAGGACCCCACTCAGGGGTTCTCCCTCTCAGAGTTCCCCACAGTGAGCAACTCTCAACAAGGGTCCACTTATGGTGGAATACTATGACCATCCCCTCTCCAAATATCCCCATGGCTGGAAAAGAACCAAGTGACAAGAATACCCAGATTACCTCCCAAAATCTCTGTGATCTCCCCTGCATGCTGTCCCAAGTATTACTTTCACCCACCCTCTCTGGTCCTGCCCCCTACAGGGATTATGAGATCATTTCTAATCATGCAACAGTACCGCCTCCTGTTAGGATTCACCTCATCAGTGATCTCTGCCTCACAGAAACGCATCTCATAATGGTATCTTCCACAAACTTTTCACCTCCCACCATCTAATGGTATTGCCCTCTCCTGGGCTCCCCCCACAATGACGCAAACGGCCCAACGCCGGCTTCCTTCCTCTCCACACAAAATGGTTTCGCCCTGTCAGAATCTCCTTCCCGCAAAGCCCAGCATTATTACCACCGATGGTGTCCCCCGCATGAGCCCAAAGGTCTCGCCCCACCCCCAGGTCTGAGTAAGGTAATGTCTATTCAAGGACGTTCTCCCCTGCCCAGAAAGCTAACAGAATCCAATCTTCAAAGCCCTACAGAATCTCGGATTCCAACAGTTTTCACCACTCAGCGCCTCAGTTTCCCATCTCCAGCCCAATTCTTTAGACTCAAGAGTCCATCCCAACCAACTCGTCAGAGGCGGTGGCATGACCGCTCGCTACCCCGCCCCCGCTCGCCCAGCCCGGTGGTCTTTCCCACAGCGAGTGGCACCTGCATCCGCTGAAACTCCTCCTCAGACAGAGCTTGCGCCATGTTCCTCCCCCCCACCCCCCCCCGTCAGCTTTCTACGCAGACGCAGCTCGTGCCTGCTGTCAGTATTCAGGTCTGACCAAACCACTGGCCAGGAATGGAGGGGGAAAAACGTAATTCAGAAGTTCGGCGTTTTGCCGATGGAAAGAGGAGGACGAAATTAGCAAGCCAGGTGAATTGTGACTTCATGTATTACTAAAATGCAAGCCATAGGATCTGTCGTTTGAGCTCCCATAGACTGCCTATTATGGTGCGACATTATGACACCCCTGCCTCAGGGGTGGACTCGTCGCTAAGGAAGTGTTTGCCGACAGAAAATCGCCCTTCCGCGGTACTCCTTTAATGAGAAAGGTTGACTTAACCATAGAAATGAAAGCGGAAGCTTTGCTAGGGTCTCGGTTTCGTTCCCGCCCTCCTCCGGATGACCCGAAAGGGGGAATCCCACCTCTTCTAAAGCCCTTGGCCTTTTTAAAATTTATTTTCTAAATCTGACGATAATTTTGTTAACGTGATGTAGTATATTATTTTAGGTAAATGACCCAATAAATTTAAAATGCCGGAAAGAATGGCAGTGAATCGAAGGGAGAAAAAAAATATATATTTAAAAAAAAGAATGAAGTGGTGAAACACCAGGAACATTCAAATAAGCCTTAACATACATTATAATCCTAACTGACCTGAGAGTAAGAAATGGTATCTCCTGCAGTTTTGTTTTGTTTTGTTTTTTGTTTTTCATTATCATAGGAGTTGTCTGTTGTGGGAAAATATTTTCAGCCAGGGGTTTTTTTCCCTGCCCTTTAGTAATGGAATGGACTTTATTATATATACCTCTATACCAATGCATCCATTATAACAAAAGAATTCCGTGAGCTCTGACAAATGTATACAACCTTGTAACCACCCCCACAATCAAGATACAGGACATTCTTTACCCTCAAAGGGTTCCTTTGTGCCCCATTCCAAACCCCACCCCTACCCCAGGCAACCACTGATGGCCTTCCTTTCCTATACATTGTATCTGTCTTTTGTAGCGGTTCTTACAAGTGGAATGAGACATTTTGTGCACTTTTGTATCTGATTTCTGTTACTCAGTGTAATACTTTCAAACATCATACAAATTGTATCCATATTTTTTTTCTGGGTGAGTAGAATGCCAAACCACATTTTGCTTATCCATTCTGTTAATTTTTATTTATTTTGTATTTGTTTGAAAGGCAGGGAGACACCCTTCCCTCCAGCCCCCCACCCAAAAAAAAAAAAAAAAAACCCTCCCAACCATTGGTGTACTTCTCAAAGGCAGCAGCAGTCAGGACTTGAGCCCCAAGCCAGGAGCCTGTAACTCAATCTGGGTCTGTCATGTGGGCTGCAGAAACCACCTCCTAGGGTGCACATTAGCAGGGAAATGGATTCCAAACTAAGGCCCCGGCACTCCCATTTGAAATGTGGGCATCCCTAGTAACCTCAACCACTAAGCCAAACACCCACTCCAAGATGCATTTTTTGTGTGTGTTGTAAAGATCTATGGGTTATGACAAAGGCATTTTAAAAGTTTTTTTCTGCATAGATTTTTTTCTTTGACATTTCTTGTTTTTTATGTATGTCATTTTTTAAAAAATATTTTTTGAAAGGCAGAGTTACAGAGAGAGAAGAGAGACAGAAGAGGAGAGAGAGAGAGAGAGAGAGAGAGAGAGAGAGAGAACTTCCATCTGCTGGTTTACCCCCCAAACAGCTGCAATGGCCAGGGCCTGGCCAGGCCGAAGCCAGGGGCCAGGAGCTTCCTCCAGGTCTCCCACATGGCTGCAGGTGCCTTAGCACTTGAGCCATCTTCTGCTACTTTTTCAGGCTCATTAGCAGGGAATTGGATTGGAAGTGGAGCTGCTGGGTCTCAAACCTGTACCATTGTGGGATGCTGCCATCACAGGCAATAGCTTTACCCACTATGCCACAATGCCAGCCCCTGTATTAGTCTTAATTTTTAAAAAGATTTATTTACTTATTTGAAAGGCAGAGTGACAAAGAGAGAGGGAGAGACAGAGAGGGAGACAAGGGCTTCCATCTTCTGATTCACTCCCCAAATGCCCACAACAGCCAGTGCTGGGCCAGGTCAAAACCAGGAGCCAAGAACTCCATCATGTTCTGCCATGAGAGTGAAAGGAACTCAAGTACTTGGGCCACCATCAATGCCTCAAATGCACATTCATGGGGAATTGGATCAGAAGCACAGAATAGCTGGGACTGGAACAAGGCACTCCAGTACAGGATACAGGCATCCTTAATGGAGGCTTAACCTTCTGTGCCACAACACTGCCTCCCTGACACTTTATCAATGCTTTATACCCAATGTATATATCTTGCATGTATTTGGTGAGTTTTTCCCTAAGTATTTCTTGTTTTTGGTGTTGTAATAAATGATAGTTTAAAAATTCAATGGCCTGTGGGTCACTACTAGTTTATAGAAATACAGTTAATTTAGGTATATTGATATATCCTGCAATGTAGCTAAAGAAACATGGTTCTATTTCTTTGTAGATTCCATATGATTACATCATCTTTGAATAAAGACAGCTTCGCTTCTTCCTTTCCAATCTATATGCCTTTTCTTTCTTTCTTCTTGCCTTTGCGCTGGCTGGAACGAACAGCACAATGTTGAATTGAAGTGATGAGAGTGAATATCTTGCTTTGTTCTTGATCTTAAGAGGAAAGACAGTCAGTCTTTTGCCATGAAGTTTGATGTCACAATGAGTTATGTGTAGCTGCTTGTTATCATGTTGAGATATTTCCTTCTATTTCTAATCTTTTGAGAGTTTATTTTTTAAAAGATGTATTTATTCATTTGAAAGGCAATGTGACACACAGAGAGGGAGTGACAGAGAGATTATCTTTATCCTCCAACTGCTGGTTCACTCCCCAAATGCCTGCAACACTTGCCTTGGGCCAGGCAGAAGCCAGAAGCCGGGAACTCCATCTGGTTCTCCCATGTGGGCAGCAAGGGTCCAAGTAATTGAGCCATCATCTACTGGCTTCCCAGGATGCATCAGCGAGAAGATGAATAAGAAGTGGTGTAGCCAGGACTTGAACCAGGCACTCCAATATGGGATGTGGGTGTCTGAAGTAATGGCTTAACCCACTGTGCCAGAACACTTGTCCTTGCAAGTTTTTCTTTAGAGGCCAGAGCTGTGTTGCAGCAGGTTAAGCTGTTGCCTGAAACACCGAATCTCATATGAGCACCGGCTCAAGTGCCAGTTGTTCCACTTCAGATCCAGCCCCCTGTAGCCATAACTCTGCTTTTCAAATAAATAAATAAATAAATATTTTTAAAAAGTTCTTCTTTAGGCCGGCGCCGCAGCTCACTAGGCTAATCCTCCACCTTGCGGCGCCGGCACCCCGGGTTCTAGTCCCGGTCGGGGCGCCAGATTCTGTCCCGGTTGCCCCTCTTCCAGGCCAGCTCTCTGCTGTGGCCAGGGAGTGCAGTGGAGGATGGCCCAAGTGCTTGGGCTCTGCACCCCATGGGAGACCAGGAGAAGTACCTGGCTCCTGCCATCGGATCGGCGCGGTGCGCTGGTTGCAGCGTGCCAGCCGCGGCGGCCATTGGAGGGTGAACCAACAGCAAAAGGAAGACCTTTCTCTCTGTCTCTCTCACTGTCCACTCCTGCCTGTCAAATAAAGAAAGAAAGAAAGAAAGAAAAAGTTCTTCTTTAATCAGGGATGGATGTGGGATTCTGTCAAATGGTTATTCTGCATCTTTTTTTTTTTATGATTTTGTGGATTTGCTAGCATTACTAGAAGAAATAAAATTTTATCTTTATGTATTTTCCTTTGCATATATTATTAGATTTGATTTACTAAATTGTTATGAAATCCTGTACCTGTATTCATAATGGGTAGTTATGTATAATTTGCTCTTTATAATTTTTATTTATTTTCATTTTTTATTAAAAAGGCAAAGAGAAACAGAGTCAGAGACAGATCTTCCATCCATCGGTTCATTCCCAAAGTGCTCAAAAACATTCAAGGCTGGGCCAAGCTGAAGCCAGGAGCCCGGAACTCAATTTGGGTCTCCCACATGGGTGGCAGAGACCCAAGTAACTGAACCATTATCTGCTGCCTCCCAGGGTGGACATGAGAAAGACACTCAGTCCCAGGCACACTGATACGGGATATGGGCATCCCATGTTTAACTACTGTACCTAATGCCCTCCCCAGGTTTCTTTTTTTGTTGTAACTTCTCTGGTTTTGTATCAGAGTAATGCTAGTCTCATAGAATGAGTTGAGAAGTATCCTCTCCTCCTTGATTTTCTAGAATAGTTAGGGCAGAATTTGTTCTACTTCTCTCTCTCTCTTTTTTTTTTTTTGACAGGCAGAGTGGACAGTGAGAGAGAGAGACAGAGAGAAAGGTCTTCCTTTGCCGTTGGTTCACCCTCCAATGGCCGCCGCGGCCGGCGCGCTGCGGCCGGCGCACCGCGCTGATCCGATGGCAGGAGCCAGGAGCCAGGAGCCAGGTGCTTTTCCTGGTCTCCCATGGGGTGCAGGGCCCAAGCACCTGGGCCATCCTCCACTGCACTCCCGGGCCACAGCAGAGGGCTGGCCTGGAAGAGGGGCAACCGGGACAGAATTCGGCGCCCCGACCGGGACTAGAACCCGGTGTGCCGGCGCCGCTAGGCGGAGGATTAGCCTAGTGAGCCGCGGCGCCGGCCCTACTTCTCTCTTAACTATACGATAGAATTCTCCAAGGAAGTCATATGGGCTTGGCATTTCATTTGTGGAAAGGTGTTTTAGTACAAATTCAATGTAGTCCATACAGATAGGGCTAATTAAGCTATCCATTTCTTCCTGAGTGGGCATGGATATTTTGTGTCCAAATTATTGGCATGAATTTGTTCATAATACTCCCCTTTATCCTTCCCATATATAGTGGTAAAGTATGCATCACATAGAAGTTATCATTTTTCAGTATACGATTCAGTATACATTCAGGAGTACATTTGTTGTTGTGCAACAATGACCACTGTCTATTTCCAAAACTTT